TTCAGTACTGCCAATATTGTGAACTCAGAGTGGAATAAAACCATATAGTTTTGATGCCGTTTGTTGTGATTCTGAGATAAACTGTTTTATGTTAGTTTGTTAAACAATTTTTTTTCATGTTTTATGGAGAAATTGTTTTGAGTATTTGAGTTTCAAATTCTTACATTTGATCTATAAATTCAATTGACACTGAAAAATACAATTACATTAAATAATTATTATGAGATTATTTTAAATATACAAACAAGACATTATGGTGGAAATTATACTTTTCAACTAAATTAAAATGCCAGTAGGTGCCAGTAGTGAGTCATTGATTCGTTCATTCAAACGATTCGTCAAACGGCAGATTCATCAGATGTTTATGCATGGGCTCAATCAGCAATGAATCGTCTGGTTGCTGTGAGATGCGCTGTTTTTGCCTAAAATGTAAGTGACCTAATATTATAGAGTGGGAATCATATGGAAGAAAACTTTGTAATGGATGAACCGACCAATCTCAGGCCTTCTGTGTCCATTTTTTCAGACTGATTTATGCTCTGCACCTGGACTGTGTATGAAAAGCACTTTATATTTTATTCAGCAGGTAATGCTCAATCTCGGAAAAGGTGAGTTAGCATCTAAAGTTCAGTACTGCCAATATTGTGAACTCAGAGTGGAATAAAACCATATAGTTTTGATGCCGTTTGTTGTGATTCTGAGATAAACTGTTTTATGTTAGTTTGTTAAACAATTTTTTTTCATGTTTTATGGAGAAATTAATTCATGTTTTGTTGTGTTTTTAAATTAACATTTGGAATTGAATTAAAATAAAACAGAAAATTGCATGAATGTTCCTTTATTTTTTTGCTTTTTTCTTAATTTTTTAGTTTAACAAATTGGAAAAATAAAACAACTGATATAGATTTAACTTTGAAATTACACTGAAAAAATGTTTCATTCATGCAATTAAACAAATGCCAGGTTTTATCAAAATAGTTTTCATAGACATAGAAAATATTGTTTAGGGCAATATTTATTTTTCATTGGCTCAAGTTACCCTTTTTTTTTTTTTTTGAATGAAAGAAACATTTTTTTCAGTGCAGCAATCATTCATAGCCATGTTATTACTAGGGCTGGGTATTGTTCAAATTTTGGAATTGAATTAAAATAAAACAGAAAATTGCATGAATGTTCCTTTATTTTTTTGCTTTTTTCTTAATTTTTTAGTTTAACAAATTGGAAAAATAAAACAACTGATATAGATTTAACTTTGAAATTACACTGAAAAAATGTTTCATTCATGCAATTAAACAAATGCCAGGTTTTATCAAAATAGTTTTCATATACATAGAAAATATTGTTTAGGGCAATATTTATTTTTCATTGGCTCAAGTAAAAAAAAATATAGATGTGAATCATTACCCTTTTTTTTTTTTTTGATGAATGAAACATTTTTTTCAGTGCAGCAATCATTCATAGCCATGTTATTACTAGGGCTGGGTATCGTTCAAATTAGTTATTTTTGGTTTCTGATGTTTTAATCATGTTACTTGTCTAGCATTAATCAAGAGTTAATGTCAAGCCCTGGAGTCTATAACGTTAAGTGCCGGGGCTCAGCCCCAGACCACCCGGCTCAATTTAAACCCTGGTCTTATGTACCATGATGCTACAGTGTGCATGAATGGTCACATCACACGCGCTTTCGGTCTTGTAGTATGAATGGACATCTGCATATGATTGAAACTCTACACAGCTCCCGCGCTACTCTCCATTGGAAATGAATGACTTTCGGTCTGTCATTTGTCGGAGATAGTGGAAAGCCGGCTTGAAACGCAGTGGAAACGCCAGTATGACGAGGATCGTTTTCATTTTAAAACAAAAGCGCACCACTGTAAATGTAGCCTTACCGCTACGGGGGCTGGGACGCATTCACACTAAATCCTCACGTGTGAGCCACATCTCTGAGTGTCACAGTCGCGGACCGACTGTGCAGACCTATCAGTGTATTAGGCTATAGTAAGATACCACGAGCAGACTGCTCCGTACGTTTTCACATTGCTCTCGCGGATGTCAAACACTGATCGATCTGCGCCTCTCTGACGTTGATGAGATTAACCCCTTAGGTATCGAAATTTGGTACCGAACGACGAGACGTTTTTCGATACTCGATGGTATCGAGGCAATTCGGTCGGTGCCTAAAAAGTATCCAACTCGATACCCAGCGCTAGTTATTACCACCATGATTATTTGAGGACTTCATTGGTTTGCAACCTATCTAGTGCCAGCTGGACAAATCCCAAAATTATTAAACAAAATGTATGCTACAAATCCATTCAATACTTTCTATACACAAAACCATCACAAGTAAAGAATTAAAAAGTTTTTAAAGTCACTTTTTGCCGTACATAAGAAGAAATAAACTCAAAATAACGTTAAAATAAAATAACATTTTTTCATATATCAACAACAAATAATAAAAGTTCCAAGATCCTGACTACTATAACAGAACCAAAGAACTACCATGGATTTTAGAGTTGCATTCATTAAAGTACCAAGAAAATGCCACTAAACATAAACATAGCAATCATTCAATATCATGGTATTACTAGGGGTGTGCGATATATATCGTCTGCGATAATATCGTAATTGTTGTTTTAACGATGTGCGATTTGACATTATCGAGCATTTTGCAAAAACCATTCAAAACATCCCTACAGAGCGCACGTATACATTATGTGAAGTCTAGACTAAGATTCGGTTCAGTCGCAATGACTCACTTATTAACAGTGATTTGCTGGCGGTTTTCATTTCAAATTTCCTTTTTCTTTCTTTTCTTTTTTCATGATTTAAATCATTTCAAATATCAGTATTCAACGTTTTATGTTTAATATATCAAAACATTATTTACGCATTTGTAATTGCAGGTTAAATGCATTCATGTCTTGCATTAAACAAAATACATGTGTGTAAATACATCTAAATGCCACTTCAGATGCAGCTTCTGTGTTGATTTAATTTGCTTGGTAACAGCCCAAATGTCTTATTCTAATTCCCTGATTAAATGTAAGAATTTGACTCAAAAGATAATGGACACTTTTAGAAAAAAGGGCTTTATAAAGGTAAAAATGCCCATAAAATGCAAAAATCAGTTTAAACTTATTGGGTAAAGACTAATTTCTATCAGTATGAACTGTCCACCACACAGAATAGGAAGAATATTAAAAACATTAGGAGTCAGCTGTCTTCGGCAGTCCTTAAGGTACCAGCACAATAACACACTCAGCAAAATATCGTCTAATTATCGTTATCGATAAAATCCCAGAAAATAGAGATATAATTTTGTCAATATCGCACACCCCAAGGTATTACCACGATAATAATTTTAGCCCTTTAGTGGCTTGCAACCTAGCTAATGCCAACTGAACATCCCCTAAATGTCTGCTATAATTCCACCCGATATTATTGCAAACACAGCAGCTTTCCCTCAAAATCAGCAATAAACTAAGAAGGCTAAAAGCTAGTATGATCACTAGCTAATGCTAATACGTGTACCTGTTCTCTTCTGTTTGCCTTTCATTTAGCAACTTTCTTCTCTTCGCTAAGCAAATAAGACGTTAACACCACTTCTTTACTTGGATTAAAACAAAAGAGAGTCTGAAAACCAGCTCAGTTGATAAAAACAACAACCATGCTAACGGCTAATGGACTAGCAAGAGGATTAGCAGTAAAAGGCTAGCAGGCAATGCTATGAAACGTACTCTTACATCCAGCATTAAAACTCATTCACTGTTTGGTTAAAATGCATATTTTTAATCTACGGAAGTAACGTTACTGAAGCCACAGCAGGACCAAAGGAGGTTAAATACTCGCCTGGTTAATGTGAAGAGAGTGAATCCGGGCCTCTGAGCTCCACCAACACTATAAACAAACACTAAATACTGACAAGCACTGCTTCTCGAGCTCCACCAGCACAGTTGTCCGTGTATCTGAGATATAGGTTTCGATTTAACGGAATATAAAGATCCACAGGCTTTCTATTTAAGTTTTGCTACTGTATTTGTCCCTCGATTGTTTCGGCTCTGAAACACCAACGGCCTCCATTCGCGTTCCTCCTCCCTCGCGTTTTCGCGTCACGACAATCGCGTCGCGGCACAGGCGTAAAAATGTTGACCAATCACGGGCCGCGCTATGAAGCGCCTTGCACTTGAACGCGATGGGCGTCACGTACTTCTCACTGAATTGTGGGAATTGTAGGCACTTGTTGGTTTTCAGTTATGGAATTTAATCAAATAATGTATAAAAGAAAACGATATATACACGTGAAAGTAGGCTATATTCGACTAGAATGTTTGATTAGTATAAAATGTCTAGTAATTAGTAATACAACTGAATGGGAAAAAAATGCCAGTTTAGCATTGTCAAACGTTTGAGCAAAAAATGTATGTTTTTGAATGTAGCATTTTATTTATTTGTTTTTTTGGGGGGTCAGGAATATATTAATATGTGTCATCTGGCAATAACGGGTCAAGTGACATGTTTCCTAGCAACAGGGCCTTGTCAACAAGCAAACCCAGGTAGCCAAAACGGTTTGGTCCGATAATGGTTAATGTGTTATTGCATACGAAGTGTCATGCACAGTACATAACGATTGTTTAATGCTGTTAATTAAGTCTGTTATGCTTACCAAGTGTGCATTCATGTGCTCAAAAATACAGTTAAAACACTCATATTGTGAAATAGCATTGCAATGCTTTCTATTGTAGGGGTGTGAGGTAATGACAGAATCTGATATCTCTATATTTTCTGGAATTTTGTCAATAACAAAAACGATAGATAGATAGATAGATAGATAGATAGATAGATAGATAGATAGATAGAAAGATAACAAGTAGATAGAATAGAAAAAGAATAAAATAATTGGGAAAACTAGTGTTAGAGGGTCTGTTTTTAATAAAAATAAAAAGTCAAAAGAATAGAAAAGGCTAGTGTTAGAGTGTAATTTTTATAGTAAATAAAAAGAAAAGAAGAATAGAAAAAGAAAAGAGAATGCTAGTGTTAGAGACTCTTTTTTTCACAAAGAAAACAAGTAGTAAAATTAGAAAAAGAATAGAGAGTGCAAGTGTTTGAGGGTCAAGTGTTTTTTTTATTTTCTTCTTCTTAGAATTATAATAGAGAGTGCTAGAGTTAAAGGGTCAAATGAAGATGGAAGAAGTGTGTTTTAAGCTGTTTCTTGAAGATGGCTAAGGACTGCTCGGATTGAGTTGGGCAGGTCATTCCACCAGGAGGGAACAGTTAATGTAAAAGTCTGTGAAAGTCATTCTGTGCCTCTTTGGGATGGCACTATAATGTGCCTTTCACTTGCAGAATGCAAGCTTCTGGAGGGCACATAATTCTGAAGTAGTGCAGAGCCAGCAGTAGCTTTGTAGGCAAACGTCAATGCCTTGAATTTTATGTGAGCAGCTACTGATAGCCGTTGCAAATTGATGAACAGAGGTGTGACGTTCTTTCTTTTCAGCTCATCAAAGACTAATCTTGCAGCCCCATTCTGGATTAGTTGTAGAGGTTTGATAGAATTTAGTCCAGTCTGGATAAAACAAGAGCTTGAACAAGGAGTTGTGTAGCATGTTCCGAAAGAAAGGGTCTGATATTCCTAATGTTGTATAAAGCAAATCTGCAGGACTGGGCAGTTTTAGCAATGTGATCTGAGAAATTCAGCTTATCATCAATCACAACTCCAAGGTTTCTGTCTGTCTTTGAATGTGCTATTGTTGATGCGCCTAGCTGGATGGTGAAATTGTGATGAAGTGATGGGTTTGATGAAGCCACAAACAGTTCTGTCTTGGCTAGGTTGAGTTGAAGGTCTTATATCCAGCAAGAAATCTCTGTTAGACATGCTGAGATGGGAGCAGCTGTCGTCGGATCATCAGGCTGGAATGAGAGGTAGAGTGTCATCAGCATAGTGATATAAAAAGCAATGATCTGAATGACAGAACCTAGTGATGCCATGTAGACAGAGAAGAGGAGTGGTCCAAGAACTGAGCCCTGAGGCACCCCAGTAGCTAGATGTTGCGACTTGGACACCTCACCCCTCCAAGATACCTTGAAGGACCTTTCTGAGAGTTAAGACTCAAACCACTGGAGTGCGGTTCCTGAGATGTCCTTTGCCAATAGGGTTGACAGGAGGATCTGAATGAAGAATGTGGCAAAGTCATCAGCTGTTAGAGTTGATGCATGAGGGGGAGGAGGAGGACAAGGGAGGGAGGAAAATGTTTTAAAGAGCATGCGAAAGTTAGACGAATTGTTAATTTTGTTGTGATAATATGTCCTTTTAGCAGTGGAGACATTAGCAGAGAAGGAAGAGAGTATTTAGTATTTAGTGCTCCTTTATATATATTAGTAACAACGTTTGTAGTCACGGGAAGAAGGAGGTGGGAACCGGTGAACATTTAAAGAAAACTTTAATAAAATAAACAAACACAAAATGAAAGTAAAGCGGCAGCCCCTCGCAGACGACTGCCGCACACAAAACACAAAATAAAGTCCAGGCCTGGTCCTCTCTCCTCCAACACTGTCGTCACTCCTCCTTTTATTCTTCCGGAGCTCCTCCGTGAGACTCGAGACCGGTGAGTGGCGCAGGTGTCGTGCATTAGCACTTACTCCACCGGCCTCACTCCGTTCCCACGGCTCTCGGCCCCACCCCACTCGTCACATATATATTGTCTTTATTTCAACAACATATCAGATTTTTTGTATATTCTGGGTTTTTTTGTGTGAAAGGTTCGCCTGTAAATGCATTTGTACGGTGTGTTTACTTGCTTTTATATTGTTATATATGTATGTATATATATTTTTTTATATATATATTTTTTTTTTACAATGAAATACAGTACACAATACAGTTTTGGACACTAAATCAATGCCAGAATGTCATTGAAATTAAATATAAAAATGGCACTTTGCAATGACTTTTAATCAACAGATGTGACGGTGGTTTTTAACGGATGTATAAAGAGACATATTTCACTAATAGTTCACCATCCCAAACTGTCTCAATATCAGTGTCTTTATTTCAACAATATATCAGATTTTTTTTATATTCAGTTCGCCTGTAAATGCATTTGTACGGTGTGTTTACTTGCTTTTATATTGTTATTTATAATGAAGTAACATTTAGACATCTTTAGGTGCATCTTAAATGTATACTTACAAATACTCCAAATACTTTTTGAAGCCACTGTATTCTTCAGAATATGTCTTCCTCACATTTTATTTCTTTTTTCTATTTAACATTTTTTCTTTTTTTTATGTTTACCATTACTGTTTAACATTTTGAATATAAAACTATATATATATATATATTTGATTTATCATATAATACTATATGATAAAAATGCAATGCAATATATAAGCTATACAAAACAGAGTCTGTCTGTGTGTGTGTGTGTGTGTGTGTAGCTATCTATTGCACTGCATTACAGTACATAGAGCAAGACAGCTCCAGTTCATGAATAAACATGTCTTTTCAGAACGGTGTTCAGATTTGGCAAAAGCTTTGTTATATCAAGGAATATCCAACTTACACTAATGAGTTTTACCCATAATGCCGCATGCGGCTCGTCTTCAGCTTTGACTTTTGCCAGAATCCTGGGTTGACCAGGGGGATACGAGTGCCAGACTGTGCCAACCCGCTGACCTGGTGTCACAAACCTGGCATCATTTTAGAGATAGGCACTTGTAGGGTTTTGGCACGGGAGGGGTTTAAGAGGCATTGGCAGTTACGCACTTGAATGCTCATTACCCAGTCAAACAGTAAGAAAGAGGTGCGCATGCTGAGTGGCATCTGCTTGAATTGAATGCTTCTTATGATTGGAGTTAAAGCAGTAAAGGCACAAACCCCATGAAGAGAAAACTATTAAATATTTTATCGAAGGTATAGTTCACCAAAAAAAAGAAAAAAAATGATGACTTCATTTACTGACCGTCATGTATTCCAAACTTAATAAATGACTCTTCTTCTGTTTCTCAGCCGGCTAACAAGCTTGATGATGATAGGGTTTTTTCTTTCTTTCTTTTTTTTGTCCAATATGTTGAGTTTGAGGGATTAATTGCATTAAATAGATTTTTATATTTATTTAGTGTTTATTGTTACAAAATCATGCAAATGTGTGGTTTAAACTGTATTCAGTCATGTGTCAAATATTGTTAACAGTGTTGTAAAGATTACATGAAAAAACTATGTTGATGTTAAACAAATGTTTAAAAAAAATTTTTTTTTTAATATATTTAAAAAAATAGCCTCAGGCTATCCAACATGTACTGTAGATGGCTTTGTTTCTTCATCAAAACAGATTTGGTGACATTTTGCATTACATCACTTGCTCACCAATGGAATGGGTGCCGTCAGAATAAGAGTTCATACAGCTGATAAAAACATCACAATAATCCACAAGTAATCCACACAACCCCAATCCATCAATTAATGTTTTGTGAAGCAAAAAGCTGCTTGTTTGTAAGAAACAAATCCATCATTAAGGCATTTTAATTAGTCCGTTGCTTCTGGCCAAAATACCAGTCCATAATCTACTGTATAATAACACTTCCTTTAGTGAAAAAGTCCATCTTACATCAAAATCAACTGACACATTTGTTTACAACTGTTTTGGACTGTTTTTGTTTGTAAATGGTGCTTTATCTGTTCATATTTTTCTACTGATTCAGACTAGACAATATTTCATTGGAGAAAGAAATATTATGGACAGAGGACTCATGTTTTAGAAGCAATGGTTTTAAGATAAAAAACATCTTTATGGATTTGTATATCATAACAATATAATTATAATATAATGTGGATTATTGTGATGCTTTTATCAGCTGTTTGAACTCATTATGATGGCACCTATTCACAGAGGATCCATTGGTGAGCAAGTGACGTAATGCTAAATTTCTCCAAATCTGCTCAGATGAAGAAACAAACTCATCTACATCTTGGATGGGTTGAAGGTGAGCAAATTTTCAGCAATTTTTCATTTTTCGGTGAGCTATTCTTAATAAGAAGTGCAAAAGGATTCATAACAGATGGTATACATTATCTCAAATTATATAGCAAATATATGATTTATAAAGCTGGAGTGATTAAACAAACGATAAATAAAAAGCGCTGAAGTATTTAGTAATCCACAGTAGAATATTCTTCATTTGCATTTATTTTTCATCATTTGCTCTCATTTTCATTAATGCAAACAGCCATCTGTCACAGACATATGTTTACTCAGAGCTCAAATATCTGGATCACTTCATCCTATTCTTGAACATGCACACCCTCTCTCATTGTGTGTTTATGTTGCAGCTGACCCCATGGCACTCCACTGGTACGAGGATGCCACTAGCTGCCCACAATCCCTTTTGCCACGTCTCGTTCACCCACTCTCGGCCAGCCGACGTAGCAGACTCTGGTATGATGCCAGGGGCAAGTGGACTACCATGACAACTGTTTGGCGGGAGAGAGAGACAGGCAGACGAGGAGAGAGGGGACAGTTTATCTCACTCCAGGCATAGATCTATGGGATATCTGCCAGGCCACATGCTATCATTATGGAGCAGGTTGGATAGCACATTAGAGAATGATAACTTTCAATTTGGTGGGCCTTTGAACACAAAGACTATCAGGAGGGGCCGCAGGACACTTGGCACTGAAGCACTGTGGGATTAGAGGGGATTAAATTGACAAAGTGTGTGTGTGTGTGTGTGTGTGTGTGTGCGTGCGTGCGTGCGTGTGTGTGTGTGTGTGTGTGAATGCACCTATATCTTTACCTTTATGTGCAGCAAAAATGTCACATGGTCTTCAAAGCTTGACACTCCAGAGGAACAATTTTACATTTAGTCTCGCAGAGTGACCCAAAACGCTAAACCAGGTATGAAGTATTGACAATCTAATTGGTGATATTTGCAAAGGCAGGAATTTTTATAGCAATAATAGATTATTATTGCTATTGCTCAATCTTTTTTTTAACAACCATGTTTTAAGGGAATGAATGATGCCTCAAATTATGTGACTTGTGTAGAAGAGATGTATTATTGCATTTGTAAGTGATTTTCACCTGGAAAATGATAAAATGATAGTAGACTTTGAATGAGGAATCTGAGTCATATCTAGAGCCTGGGAAATTATTTTTAATTTGGGATGGTAAGCCAAAAGTAAGATTAAAGTCAAAATAAAGCCAAAGCAACCCCCTGGCAATGACCCACCACTCTTGCTGTCAGTGGAGCGGTACCCTTTCAAAAGGTACTAATTTGTACACATTAAGTACTAATATGTACCTTTAAGCTACTGATATGCACTCTTTAGGATTAAATACGTTTTTTTTAAGTGTACCTTTTGAAAGGGTACCATCCCAGTAACTAGTTTTGTACTTTTTTTCTAAAGTAGTGGCCAAAGAGACTTGGAGTTGGGTTGTTTTGACTAACCAACCACCAAGAACACCTTAGCAACCACTTAGCAATGACATAGCAGCCATTCACAGTACCCTAGTACTGTTACGGTGACAAATGGGACTTACATTTTGTTTCTGAAAATGTTCAAATCTAGTTTAATTTGTTATTCCTCATTACTGTTTTTCTTATGCATGCTTCTACAAAATGCTATATAATGATATGGTAAATATATGTCCTGTTTGTTCATGTTCATAGATGCAGTATACTGGAATGTCTGGGGGTCAGGTGGGAGTTGCATTGCTCTGTCCTGAGTGGCTCAGACACATTATCTGAGTTGTATACCAACAGCAAAAGACAGAGGGATGTTCAGCTACAAGAGAGAGCTGGTATGGTGCCCATGGTACGGTATACAGCATGTATAGGCTTATTGTGTTTTGTTCCTTTTTGTTTTCTCTCTCTAATTTGTTCTGTTTCGGGTGTGTTCTGCATTGTTTTGTTTTCTGGGGTTAGTAGAGCTTAACAGGTCTCTCAAGATCTTAAAGTGTTACTACACAGCAAATTAGTCAACAGTGTATAATTTGTGTAGTGTATCGTGTATTACAGTGTATTTGTAGTGTATAGTGCATAACAGTATGCTGCATGAACACACTCAGGTAGGATTAGTATCTATTTCTAACCGTACAAACTGAAAATGTGTAATCGTTTGAGCACCTCACCAAGCTTGACACAACAACATACTGTAGACTCAACCAATGTCAGGATTATGTTCTGTTTCTGCCTCCACATTTCCCCTTGTCTATTAGTTTCCATGGTTTTTGATTTATTTGCTCGTTAGTCATTATTAGTTAACTCCCTTCACCTGTTTTCCCCTCATCAGCTGCCCTACTTAAAGTCTTCCTTCTGTTCAGTAATTTGTCGGTTATTATTTCATGTTTGATGTTACAACTACCCTGAGATGTTTCCTTGCCTGAGTTTTTTGTGGATTATAATATTAAAGACTTTTTCGTTGTGGATCCTCCATCTTCTGCACCTTCATTAGAGAGACTGTAACAACCAATGATGTGGGGATCTATTTGACTAACCAGTGGGAGAGAGGAGAGTGTTCTGGAAACTTGTTTGAAAATTCATTATTTTTGCAATTCTGTCTGGTGACACTAGTGGTGCAGACATAACACACATTAGGCCTACCTCTAAAATAAGCTTAAAAAAATTCAGAGAAATAGTTGGCACCACCCAAAAGTCATTATAATATCCTCAAATGTTATTTTACCATTTTTTTCTTATGCTCTAAACAATGTAATGACATAAAAAATACAAAATTCACAAAGCTTTTTATTTCTGGTTCTCAGGAGGATATGAACACGTGGGACAGAACTGTTTATTTATAAAGGAGTTCATTTAAAACAGTCATAAAATATGCAGAATAATAACTTGTGAAACATTATGTAATAAATAATGCAAAATGGAAGATCCCATTATTGTCATGATAATAAATAGACCACTTCAAATATAACTTATAAATATTTCACATGTTTATCTTAGAGTATTTGGAAAAGAGAAACCGTTCAAGAGAGAAATTCAGACCTTCCGTTTTGTTTGGATATTGCCGTCATTGGTAAAGACAGCAGGGCTAGTAAGTCTACATGTGGAAGAGGACTGGTCTACAGGAAGTGGCATCTCAGCAGCCCTTTGATTCTCCGACTGCCTGTCACCGATGCCTCCATCAATAAAGTGGGTAAGCACTAAAAGGATGTCAGATTTATTACATTATTAGCAGTAAATAACAAGCTGTGTCATCATCACTTGTTGACTTGCTGTCACATGAGTTTCTGACCTCAGTGATGTTGACTGATGAGGGGGCATGCAGTGACAATTAAGGAGAAACACAGTTATATAAGAATCTCTGCTGTGTTCTAGCTTTGTCTTTTGCCCTGCGGACACTTTATGACCCCGAGGAACGCCCCAATGAGTGGGGAGAGACTGTGCTTTCTGCTGCTGCATTACTGGGAATGTCAAACCTCTTCCAGGAGTGAGTATTGACGTCTTCAAATCTGTTCTTGCACTGGCAGGTTCAGTACTATATACTGTATATATATATTTATTTTTTATTATTATTATTGTAAAAAAAATTTTTTAAGAATATTCAGCATTTTTGAATGATTTCCGAAGGATTATGTGAAAACTGATGTAAATGTGAAGACTGGTGAAAATTCAGCTTTGCCGTCACAGGAATAAATTACATTTGACATTATATTACCAAACAGTTGTTTTAAATTGTAATAATATCTCACAATATATTGGTGGTTTGAATTAAATATATTTTAAATTTGCAAAATGTTTTTTTCTTAACCCATGCTGTTTACAAGATATATTTATATTATACATATATTTTGGCCAGTAAAAAAAAATGCCTAATAAGATTTGACAAAGGGTAACAGAATTTGTCTCCTACAAATAATGAAAGTCATGAATATGTGTCATATTAAGTATGCAAGCCCACACCCAGGTCTCTAGAGAAGGTTGTGTTGTCCAGTCTTAGATTGATTCATATCCAGGATGTTGGGTGGAACTGCATGTGAATTTTGGCACTGCAGTCAGTCACTGTATTTATTTGAAAGATGTTTTTCAAGTAAGATCAACCATGTTCCACCCAGCAGAGTTTGAATTACACCATGCATTGCATAACAGTCCATTTCTCCCTTGGTCATGGGTGCGTCAATTTCTAATCATTAATGCAAATTAAATTGTACACACATTCACGAATGCTTACGTGTTTAGTTTCAGAATGTCACTTCAGAATATCAGAAATAATCCAGACATACTGTATATGAATACACAGGGTTGTATGGTATGTCAAATATTGTGTCCTTTTAAGGCTGATGGATATGATTGGCAGGTCTTAAAGAGATGTTGACAAATATCTCATCTTTGACTGTGTGCAGCTTTCATCGAGTGTCTTGCAAGGTAATTATTATTATTATTATTGATGTATTTTTCTATTGTTCTTCAAATGACCAATAGGGGGAGCTTTTTATTCAGTGTGTAAACGTCTATAAAACTCTTTCTGTGTTTTTCGATTGAAAGAGACTATTCTCCAGAGAGTATGTGAGCGCTGGTTGGAGCTGTTCCTAGTGATTGAACTCTCCTGCCACATAAATCTCAGAGATCTGCCCTTTGACCTCTTGCTGAAGACCCTGCTTAGTCCAAGGTCTCATACTTTTTCGTCTCTTTTTGACCTTTCAGTAGCAAATCACATAGAGAAGCGCTTGCATCAGGATCTTGTTTGATTGCTTTGCTTTTGCATAAAGAACCTATTTATAAGACCATTAGGATGTTTTATATCGTGACATTTTCCTTCCAAAGCTTCATTACTGAAGTGTATCAGGATGTTTTACTTTTGTGTTTTTATGTTTTCCCTTTATTCTCAATGGTAATTTTCATTAGATTCTAATTACTCTCATTTCTGCAAATGTTTTCTTTATTTACATAATTTACTTCATATCTTCATTTCTTTGTTTACTTCATTTACATTAACATAAAATAAGTACATTGCACCAAATACTACCATGACGCATAGACCTAAATATTGTACAAATATCTGTCTGTCTGTCTGTCGATCTATCATTGGGGGAAATGTGATTTTATAATATAATTCTGCAAAAAACTTACTGGTCTTAAAATATATCTAATGCTAATTCTCATTAGAGTCTTGTTACTGTAATACAGTCAGAAAAATCATCCTTTCTCCAAACTTTTTCTATTTTAAATCAACATCAAATACATTGCACCATCTAATATCATGATGCGTGGACCCATATCATTATTTATGTATTCATTTATTTTTCTTTATTGTAATGGGTTAAATGTGATTTTGCAATTTTACTCTGCAAAACACTTTTTTTTTCTCTGTGCAAAATATAATTTCTTTTGATTTTGGGGTGACATATGGCATGGACATTCTTTGTAACACTTTTATAAGTACTTTTCTGTACTTCCAGTCACCTTCTGCATACATAACGACTATTAAAGCATCAAAAATGAGCAGATGGAGTAAATCAGCAGGAAACTAATAAGGTTTCTGTGTCTAAACTGTTCGCATCTAATGAGTATGAGGTCTTGAGAGCAGCTCTGCACTGGCTGTACCTGCAGTTAACCCCCTTCAGACAGACCCTACCAGCCCATAGCACCGTCATCAACTTCTTCTCCAAGTACGTAACCTCCTTCATTCCATTTACAGCTGTCAGCAACAACACAACGCATATGAACCATTAGCATAATTCCAGACAGTAAAAACCCCATTTACGGAGGACATTACAATAATTCAGTACACTATATACGTTCTTTTTGAAATGACCTTGATACTGCTTAGCTAGTTTCATGCACATATGCTGCTTTAATGACATCCCTTCATCATATATCTGTCTGTTTCAGGGAAACGGCTGTTTTCATGGAACAGCCTCAGGGTCAAACATACATCACTATCTTTCAAGCTCTTTGTATGCATGGCATTACTGAATGTAAGTTTTGGATGCTTCATGATAGATGCTTCACTAGCTCACATCACAAACTAACATCGTCTACAACATTAGATTGGTCTTCAAAACCAAGTATACATCTTTGTCCCCAATCTCTGAATACTGTTGTGGCTCACTGTTAGCTTAGAAAACAGACCGTTAGGCAGAATGAATGTGTATATCTCAATGAGAGAGTGTCCAGACAAACAGTATGTCCCAGCTACAGGATCACGTCATGGCCACAGTCTTTCTTTCTTTCTTTCTTCTTCCTTTTGGGGGGTATCACTATCTTTCAAGCTCTTTGTATGCATGGCATTACTGAATGTAAGTTTTGGATGCTTCATGATAGATGCTTCACTAGCTCACATCACAAACTAACATCGTCTACAACATTAGATTGGTCTTCAAAACCAAGGATACATCTTTGTCCCCAATCTCTGAATACTGTTGTGGCTCACTGTTAGCTTAGAAAACAGACCGTTAGGCAGAATGAATGTGTATATCTCAATGAGAGAGTGTCCAGACAAACAGTATGTCCCAGCTACAGGATCACATCATGGCCACAGTCTTTCTTTCTTTCTTTCTTCTTCCTTTTGGGGGGTGGGGGGGCAGTAAATGAAAGGCAGTAATCTGATAGTAATTGGATAATCTTACTAAAAAAAGCCTTCATGTAAACACCTCAGTCGAAGCAATTGAGCTTGATTCGAACAAAATTCAGTCAGACTGGAAAGGGGGGTGTAGACTTTTCCAATAATTTGGAAAAATGTTGCATTTAAACAACTCTTAACCTTACATACTAATTACGTGACTTGTCCTGCCCCAGATACTGGCATGAATGAAACCTCATATTACGGGGAATTGTTGCAGCTTAGCATGAAACTGTTCCAGAATTCACATGGAATAAGTGTTCAAAATAAAACAGAAAGGGCTCTTCCAGTAATTTTAAAGGAATAGTTCTACCCAAAAATGATAATTAGCTTAAATGTACTTGCCCTCAGGCCATCCGAGATGTATGTGAGTTTGTTTCCTCATCTGAACAGATTTGAAGAAATTTAGCATTTCATCACTTGCTCACCAATGAATCCTCTGCAGTGAATGGGTGCCGTCAGAATGACCGGGACCGGGAACACCACATTAAGTGACGTGACATGTGGCCAAGTATGGTGACCCATACTAGGAATTAGTGCTCTGCATTTAACCCATCCAAAGTGCACACACACAGCAGTGAACACACACACACACACCATGAACACACACCCGGAGCAGTTTGAGAGCCCAAACTGCTGATAAAAACGTCACAATAATCCACAAGTATACAAGACTCCAGTGTGCTGCATGTTTATTATAAACAAATCCATCATAAAGGTGTTTTTAACTTCAAATCGTTACTTCTGGCAAAAAATATGAGCATAATATTGCTTTCTCCAGTAAAAAAGTTGTATTGCCTGAATCAGGGGAGAAATATGCACAGATCAAGCACTGTTTACGAGCAAAAACAGTCCAATGGATTTTGCACTGGCATTTTGGCCAGAAGCAATGGATTAAAGTTAAAAGACTTAAATGATGGGTTTGTTTCTTATGAACGCACAGCTTTTCACTTCACAAGACATTAATTGATGAGTCTTGACAATTACTTGTGGATTATTGTGATGTTTTTATCAGCTGTTTGGACTCTCATTCTGACGGCACCCATTCACTGCAGAGGATCCATTGGTGAGCAAGTGATGTAATGCTACATTTAACCAAATCCGTTCTGATTAAGAAACAAACTCTTCTACATGCTGGATGGCGCAAGAGTAAACTTTTTATTTTTGGGTGAACTATTCTACACACTATCACTTCACCGGAAAAGATACACTCTTTTGGAAATAACACTACTGACACATGTACTTAAGTTAGAGCATTGCTACTTTGTTTACCACCCAACACTATATTCTAGTTATGTTGTTTATATGTGTTTATGTCTCAGGGCAGCATCTGCAAGAGCTGCAGAACATTAGAGTTCTTCCTGAGTCTTGGCTGCTTCACATCCTGTCTAATAATTACCACACTGTAAGTGTGTATAGAGATGACAAACACAACACTACATTCAACCCACCCATCACTCCAGATGTAGAGCCATACATAATTCATAAGCTGCTTGTTTCAATACAAGTTGTATAGATTTTTTTTGTCACCAAATGAAAACTAATTCAGTAGCTTCAGGGTTGATCTGTATGTTTTTTCCATAGCTTTACAGCAGGGGTGACATGGTCGTGACTGACTTCTCCAAACAAGCTATTCGGTTTGGAATGATGTTTGATAGGGTGCTGTACACTTTCTGACAATTTAACACTGATGTGTTATGGCCATTCCCAGAGCTTTTCAGTCCTTCAATCACTTGCAATTACTGTTGTTACAATATGACAAAGTTAACCCATGCATTTTCTTTCATGCTGATGTTCTTTTACTTGCTTGTAAGGCAGTTTATTGTGTGTTGTGTTTTTCCCTGTCACCGTATGGAACAAGAGTGCTGCACTCAAACCATCAGCCTCTATGGCTTTTACTTTCTTCTCCAAGCTGCTAAAATGGGCGAATCAGATACATACAGCTTCTCCATTGGGGTTAGAGCCCTCACAGCTACATGTACCCTTGTGAAAAAGAAAGGCACATTGTATCAAATGGGCACTTGTAGTATACTTCAAATCTTAAAACTATATTTAAAAAAAAAAGTCAAATTATACATTTTATTTATCATGCTTTAAAAAGTAAAATTATTTTGATGTGTTGAAAAACATACTAAAGCACTTGTTTAAGTATTTAAAGTTCAAATATTTTAAATGTACTAAATTGTGACTTCATTACAAATGTGTAATAACAAATATATTTATGGCATACAAGTTTCAGTGGAAGTGACATGTATATTTTATTTTGCTGTAAATGCTTGTCATTACATTCAGCAGTGCAGTTTAACCACATTTCAAAGACAATAAAAGCAACTGTGAAATTACATATAGAGATGTACTTAAAGGAACACACCACAATTTTTTAAAATATAGGCTCATTTTCCAACTCCCCTAGAGTTAAACAGTTGAGTTTTACCGTTTTCAAATCCATTCAGCCGATCTCCGGGTCTGGCGGTAGCACTTTTAGCTGTAGCTTAGCATAGATAAATGAATCTGATTAGACCGTTAGCATCTCGCTCAAAAATGACCAAAGAGTTTCGAAATTTTTCCTACTATCCAGCTGGGGACTATTTTCAGGTGCTGCGTAATATCATTGTGCCTGCTGACCCATGGTACGGCAGCAAAGTTCCGGAATGAGAGTATAGTTCCTAGCCATATCGGCCGAGAAAATCGCAACTTTTCATTTTCCGTCGGTCTTAATAAACGATGTAACTACAGAAGAGTCAAGTTTTAAGTAGGAAAAATATCGAAACTCTTTGGTCATTTTTGAGCGAGATGCTAACGGTCTAATCAGATTCAATGATCTATGCTAAGCTGTAGCTAAAAGTGCTACCGCCCAGTGTTGCCAGATTGGAAATGTCCAAGTATCGTACCAGAAGTTCAAAATTATCGTATTTGGAAGAAAATTATCGTACACGAGTCAAACGTTCAGAATACAGCTATTTATCTAGATGTTACAGCTATTTATCCTTTTCAGCACTCATTTGTATACTTTATTGCTAAACTATCGACCTCAGCTTTGAAACAAATGACCTAAGTGCGGCAGGAACGTTAACTTGTGCTCGTGAGAGAGAGTCATTCTCCATGATGATTGGTCGAGAAGACATGAGATGAGATGAAAGACATGCGTAACCCGTTCAAGTCTCCTCACAATCATGAAGGTAGACGTACAGCCCTATGATTACAACGACTATCATTTGGTGGCACAAAATTCTGAAATTATCGTACATTATGGTAAAAAAATTATGGTACAAATATGATAATTATCGTACATCTGGCAACACTGCTACGGCCAGACCTGGAGATCGGCTGAATGGATTCGAAAACGGTAAAACTCAACTGTTTAACTCTAGGGGAGTTGGAAAATGAGCCTATTTTCAGAAATAGTGGCGTGTTCCTTTAAGTCCTACTTAACTGGATCAGAAAAGCACTCTTAAATGAATCTTTTGCATTTTGTATAAATTTAAACTATAATCCATTTTTGTTTAATAACATGTAATTAAGTGTCTGAGAAATTACATTCAGTTTGCACTTTTAAAGTAAATTATTACCGTAATAAATACTCTTTTTAAAACTATCCTAAAGTGTACTTCTTGTTCACAAGGGTATGTCCAGCAAATAAAGACTGATGTCTTAAGTATCCACCAGATGACACTTTGTGATTGAGCTATCGATGTATTTCATTTACAATGTGTTGTGTACATTTAAAGATGCAGTTCACCCACAATATTGTCATCATTTATGCATTCTTATGTCGTTCAGCCAAAGCTTTTTCTTCCATGGGACACACAAAAGCAGAAGAGCGATGTCAAACTATAAAACAGCCACAAAACTGCCATAAATGTATTCCATACATTAGCTGTATGTTAGAAACCGTCTGAAATTTAGGTCATTACTGGTTCTCGCATGTTTCATCATTGTAGTCTGTCTACGAGGCTAGACCATATTTAAATGCATGTGTGCATGAATTCCATAAAATAAAGTCATACATTTTGGTGAATAAATGATGAATGAACTTTTATATTTTGGGTGAACTCTGCCTTTAAGAGATTCCTTAGATCTTCTCCCACTCTCCTTCTGTCTCACTGTCTGTGTGTGTGTGTGTGTAGAGGTTAAGACACTGGGATCCTGCTGTATGCCAGTCTTCCATTGTGAGCCGTCCATACAGTGTGAGATCGGATCGATCAGTGTGCTATCACATCACAGTGCAAAGCTATGCTAGTGGCGAGTGGCAAGAGCACAGCAGTGGACCTGTCAATCAAGTCAAGAGTTTGGCTTATGCAAACGCCACTGTAGGAGCAAGGTACCAACACCCAGAGTTTGAAATAATACAATGAAAACTGGAAACAGGACGATAATCAGTTTGAACATGATAACCTGAAAACCATTTTAAACTAAACAGTTACTGCCGACAGCCCAAAATAAAGAACGACAACCTTTCAGACTGAAGAACTACATTACAAAAAATTTGAAATTGATTTCATTTGCTTGGTAACAGCCCAAATGCAAGAATTTGACTCAAAAGTCGATGAACACTTTTAGAAAAAATGGCTTACAGGTAAAAATGCCCATAAAACTTATTGGAAAAGATTCATTTCTATCACTGCTGTGAACTGACCACACAGAATATGAAAAATATAAAAAAAATATTCAGGAGTCAGCTGTCCACAGCAGTCCTTAAGATATCAGCACAGTAACACACTCAGCAAAATATCGTCTAATTATCGTCATCGATAAAATCTCAGAAAATATTTTTGTCAATATCGCAAACCCCTAATTTGTTATTTAATTTATATAATTTATTGATGATAATTGTTTAAATTAATATTGTCACGAATTCAGTCCATGGACTTCCGTTTATTCACCACCAGATGTCACCCTTTCCATTACATTGACTCTCGCACTACACAAACTGTTGCATAGCACCCCGGACTACATATCCCATCATTCTTTGCACGATTTGCACACTGCACTGATTGCACACAGCTGTTTCTAATCACCTCACTCACTATATAACATCTACTCTAACCACATTTCTCTGCTGAGTATTGTTTAGCCTGTACCCCTTTCCGAGTCTCCGTGTTTTCCTTGTTTTGCCTTGCCTTGTCTTGCCTGTTTTTGCGGTTTTTGATCTTTGCCTGTTTTCTTGGATTTCTCCCTCTCGTCTTGCCCCTGTGATTCTGTCTGCTTATCGGTGACCTACGTGACTATTCTTGTGTTTTGCCCCCATATACCTGTTTGCCAGTGTTTTGACCCTGCCTGTTTACCACGTCTCCTAAATAAAGCCTGCAGATGGATCCACATGTCTCACGTCTTGTCAGCCCCGTTACAAATATAATGATTACCGGTAATACTTTTTTAAAAGTGGTTTAAAGGCTAAAATGTAAATTTTATAATTTTATAAAACTTTTTGTTTTTGTGAAAACTTGTATCTGAACGGTAAATTATGCTTTTTACAGTAATTTTACAGTTTAATATGGTACTATAGACATTGCCCTACCCCGCTCATATGGTATTAATTTTATTTCTGTCAGGACCACTATCGTCAAAATGATAGATACTTAGCATAAAGTTTGGTTTGGCGCTATGGTTCTGTTCTGGGCAAAAACCTCCCTGCCCATCCATGCAGCCTGTCATGAATGAGCAGGGAGAGCAGCAATAATAACCGCCCTAGGGTTAACAGAACAGAACAAGGCAGATATCATTAATGTACTTAATGATATTTAAGTGTAACACTTTATTCAAGATAAAGGAGTCTGATTAGCAAGGAATATCAGAAAGCCAAGTCCTGACTGTGGCGAAAGGAGGAGCTGGGGATGGAGGAGGGTAATTTGCTCCCGAGCAAGCTGAAAAGCTGCTGAATAATACTGAATAGAGCTTATATAGGAATGCCGCGATAGGTGTCGTATTCCTATAGGTAGATGTGATCAGCTGAGAATCAGCTGATGCAAGCTTGACTCACGTGACCTGCCAGAACTAACGCTTAATTTGTGCAGGTCTTAAAAAAGGTCTTAAAAAGTCTTACATTTGTGCTTAAAAATCCTGCAGAAACCCTGATTTGATGTTTTTAGAGGATTTGTTGGTATTAAGTTACATTTAAGGAATAGTTATGATCCATTTATTACTTGACCTGAAAAATGAATAAAAAATCCAACTTAAACTAATGAATGGTTTGGAGCAGAGACTTAAGTTTAGTCTCTTTTTAAAGAAACTAAGCAGATTATTGCTGAAGTAACAGTTTTTCCAAAACATGTTTTACTCTAAAACTGCATGAAAATTGAAGCCATAAATCGAAACAAATTGTTTGAGTTTGATGCCTCAAAAAAAAAAAAAAAAGAAAAAGCTTTTAGTAGAATTTTGTTTGGGAGCTATACCGTACCAAACATTTGCACAAGATGAAATTCACTCCCCGTTCATTTCCAATGCAGACATTTTTGTGTGCAAACAGTACAAGTTTGATTTTTTTTCGAGACCATTTAACCTTTTTGAGTAATGTCCATGTTTATTTATGTATTTATGTATTTATTTATGTATGTATTTAATTATTTCTATTTATTTTCACATACCAAGTTTCACACCATTCTGATGATGTAAAAAAATAAAATAAAATTCTAAAAAAAATTTTTTTAATTTTTTTCGGACAAATCTGACCGAACAACAGCAGAAGGTTAAAGGTTAGAAACACTTCTGAGTATTTTAATTAATTTAAAACTAAAAATTATACAACAAAAATAACAGTTTCCAAAATCCTCTGTAGCCTTAATTCTTAATCAAAAGTGGCCTCAGCGCTGCACAAAAAAACGGTAACGCAGTAAATAAACAATGCAAAAGTAGCAACAGAGATCTAAAAATATCTGCGAGTAAAGATACAAAGAGAAAATATTTTTAAAAGACGTTTTACTATTTATCATGCAGTTTTTTTTATTTCAGAAGTTCATATTTTTTGTGCATATATTTGAAGTTGTTTTTTATTTATTAATTCGTTTTTACTTTTGTGCATGCACTGTTTTCATCACTTCTGTCTAGAATAATATCTGAAACTTTGTTGGAGCAAAAGCAGCTGGTGACAGTCTCCCATGAACACATAAAAGTCTTCATTCTTCTATTTTTCTTCTTGCTGCTTTTTTAGCTCTCAGAAAGTTCCCTCAAGGCATATTCTAATCCACACACTATTCTAAGCCATTTTAGTAGTGTGGAAATCCACACTGAAAATTCCAAACAGAAAAAGTACACTTCAAAAATTATACAGTCAAGTAAGACGCATTGCATTGTGGGATACAATATGTTGCCCAATGTGCTCTGGTACTGCACATTTTGGCGAATATAAAAGCTCATCCATGTATTCCATGCATTCAGAAAGTTAGCATATATTATCTGCACATTATACTGTAAAACTAAAGTTGAAAAAGAAAAATGCTATTTTCTGTAGGGAGCAGCTATTGCACCATTAGCTCTTGTTTTTGAAGCTCATTTCTCATGTCTAGATCTGACAGACTGTCCACGTCAATACTGTGGACTGCCGTCATTTGGCTCATGCAACCTCAAAATAGTTTCCGTCCTCTTGAAATGTGCTGCAATGCTATTGTTTTCAAGGGCTGCAAATTGAGGGAAGAGGAAACGTGTTTTGCGTGTTGCACTCTGTGTTTTCACATGGGCAAACTGCCACTGAGGAAACAAAGCTATCACAATGCATGCTGGAAAATGCTCAGCAGAGCAGTGCGGATATACAGCAGCCGTCCACAAACTACTGCATGACCCGCGACTGACTTCCCTTGACCCACATTTTAATTCGAAAATGAATATGAGAAAGCAGAAAAACGTTTAGATTCTTTCTTTCTAACTCGTCACCAAGAATTAGAAAGGCTTAAAAAAAAGAAAAGAAGTATATAAAAATAAATGTAGGCTGGTAGCCATTGACTTACATAGTATTTATTTTTATTATTATTTTTCCCCATACTATAAACTGCCACTGAGGAAACAAAGCTATCACAATGCATGCTGGAAAATGCTCAGCAGAGCAGTGCGGATATACAGCAGCCGTCCACAAACTACTGCATGACCCGCGACTGACTTCCCTTGACCCACATTTTAATTCGAAAATGAATATGAGAAAGCAGAAAAACGTTTAGATTCTTTCTTTCTAACTCGTCACCAAGAATTAAAAAGGCTTAAAAAAAAGAAAAGAAGTATATAAAAATAAATGTAGGCTGGTAGCCATTGACTTACATAGTATTTATTTTTATTATTATTTTTCCCCATACTACATGGAAGTTGATGGCTACACCAACTATTTAGTTATAAACATTCTGCAAAATATCTACTTTTGTGTTCAACAGAAGAAAAATTCATACTGGTTTGGAACAACTTGAAAGTGAGTAAATGATAGAATTTACAAATAAGAATTGTGAGATATAAACACAGGATTGCGAGAAAAAAAAGTCTGAATTGTGAGATAAAAATGAACATTTATTTATTATTGATTTGTTCTATGGTGGAAACAGGCTTCCATAGAAAACAGAGCTTATGTATTGTTAACAATTTATGTATAGTAACAATTTGTTCAAGTTTTTAGCCTTGCATAAAAACACTATGCATGCATTGTTCAAAATGCTAAAAATGCATTAAATGTTATATATTAATTTTGTGATTAATTAGAGAGATAAAAATGTCTTGTGTTTGGACCAGTTTTTAATCTCAATACATGTAGTCTGAATGCAGGTCACTATAACCTCTAATAACCTTTGCTGAAATCTCAGTGCACATGAACAATAAGCATCCAGGGGGATTTCCCATAATACAGCCCTATTTCCTTCTTCAGCCTCTTCTCTTCAGTCACACATAGCATCGAAAGGTATGAACTGAACATGTACACTGTGGAAGTATGTATACTATTATACACTTATGGTCAAAAGTTTGGAATAATTAGCTTTTGTTTGGTCGTTTGATTGATTGATTGATTGATTGATTGATTGATTTTGAAAGAAGTGTCTTATGCTCACCAAAGTTTTAAAAGCTTAAAAAAGTACAAATTCAACAAAAACAGTAATATTGTGAAATAATGAAAAACATCAACAGCCATTACTCCAGTCAGAAATCCTTCTAATTATGTTGATTTGGTGCTCAGTTATTAAATAACAGTTCTTATATTTATCAATGCTTAATATTTTTGTGAAAACTTTTTTTTTTTTTTTTTAATTTTCACTTATCCCAAACTTTTGAATGACAGAGTATCACAGTTTACACGACTGTTCTCAGCATTGAAAATAATGAAATCGGCACATTCGAATATACTTGACTGCAATAAAACTATTTCAGAAAAGAGGA